AAGGGGTTTCTCCACACCCGCCAATAGCCTCTTCCCGACTCCCCTGTTCCTGGCAGTGTCATCGCCTTCGCCATCGCCATTGCCCAGATCCTCAGAGTCATCATTAGGGCCTTTTTCCCCTTCACTTACTTTGTCTAGATATTTATTTACCAGTTTGCCTCCTCTGGCATTGGATTTCCTGTGTTTTCCAACCTTCCCTTTCTTTCCCTGACATTGCTCTGAGTCAGGCTCTTGTCCCTCATGCTGGGCTGGGGCGATAACTCCCAATTTATACCCCTGCTTCTCAAGGTTCTTCTTCCTTGAAGTCCATTCTGATTACTGATTAATGGTCCATATCCAGCCCCTCCCAATCTCAGAGCCCTCACTAGGCTCCTTCCGGCTGCAGGATAAAGTACAACTCTTCTGCCCCGCACTCACTGGGCCCCACCTTACCTGCCCAGCCTCTCAACTGTCCCCGACTTCCCCACCTGCAACCTGGAGTCCGGCCAGATCCAGCTCCTCAGTGTGTGGGAACCTGCCTGCTCCTTCTGTCTCCTCCCCACCCCCCGCAGTGCCCACCGCTGCTCCCCACTCTCCAACGGCTGCCACGCCCACAGCTCGCCCGGGAACAGGCAGCTCGTCAGACTACCAGGCCCAGAAGGGTCTCCCTGCTTTGAACATCCTTGGTGTTTCTGTTTGCACATTTTGTATCCCAGCGGTGTGAGATTCACGTTCACTATGTAAGGGAGGGTTTCTGCCCCTCAGCTCTACTGACCCTTCCGCCAAGATAATTCCTTGCTGTGGGAGGTTTTCCTTTGTTTCCAGGCCAGGATTCCTGGTCTCTAGATGCCACGTAGCACCCTCTAGTTGTGACACTTGAAACTGCCACCAGACTTTGCCAAAAATCCCCGGGGGACAAAATTGACTCTGGCTGACAACGCTCCTGTAAGGGAAGACTTGTATGCCAGCTGCACCATGAGCAACAGGTCCCTGGAGCTGAATGTGGCAGCTGCCGACGGCACGAACCACAGGGCAGAAGGGGTTTCTCAGGATACTCTCTGGCAGTTGGCATTCACTGTGGTTCGGAGCACATGCAGCAAGCTGCCCAAGTACATGCCCATGGTGGCCTCCTGGCGCACACTGACCACATCCTGTTGTTCAGAAGGAGTTTACTCCTTGAAGTGACAAATCAGGAAGGAGGCTGGGAAAAGCGGTTAGGTACCATAGAGACACAGCTCCCATTCCTCAGTGTCTAAGAGGTCGTTAAGGAAAGCATTTGAGATCTAGCTCCCCAGCACGTGTTGTCAGCTTGGCTCAGATAAACTCACAAAAATTAATAAAATAAAAGGTAATTAATCAAGCAGTAGGAAAACACAATAAAATATGGGGGAGCCACATTTGCCAGGAAGATGCTAGGGGTCATTTGATGGCCATGTTCTGTGCGTCCAGGGAATAAACTGAGTTCCATCCTCAGCCTTTCACTTTCAAAAGCGATTCCGTAATAGGAATCTAGTTGGCCGGCACTGTCAGGATACTCTTACAGGTTCATCTAAGTGTGTTTTAAAAACATGTTTTCATTGATTTTAGAGAGAGAGGAACATCAATGATGAGAATCATTGATCATCTGCCTCCTGCATGCCCCCTCCTGGGGATCGAGCCCCAAACTTAGGCAAGTGCCTTGACTGGGAATCAAACCATAACTCCCTGGTTCATGGGTCAACACTCAACCACTGAGCCACACCAGCCTGGCTCACCTAAGTTTTAAGAACATTATTCAGAATAACCACACCTCTCAAATGATATAGGCCCTTCCCCAAGAAGGCTGTTGTGTATGCCTCAGGGGGCTCTGCGGGGCTTGGGTCACTGGGCACCAGCCTGAGTCCCTGGATGGTCCGGGTCTGACAAATGCCCTAGGCCGCTGCCCCAGTTTGAATGAGCACTGGGGCTAGGATAAGTGGGAGGCCCAGCATGCAGGTTTGTCTCCGGGCTAGGTTGCCATGCCCTGCTTTTGGCCTGTTGGCTCCCCGAGGGGCTGTTCTTCTCCAAGGTGTTAACCATGACAGACAGGCACTGGGCCAGCCATCCTCTCCGGCCCTCAGGCTGGCAGTGCAGGGACACCTCTCCTCTGTTCCTCTCAGCTGTCCTGACTTACCACCGATGCTCACTTCCTCCTTTATGGCCTCCTGACTCACCTTTCAGAAGTTGGGCTGCAGTGGGAGGGTGAGAGAAGCAGGCAGAGGGGATGCTGTAATTGGTCTCCAGGATTTTCAGAAGATCTGCCGTGTACCTGGAGAGACACCAGCCTGCGTTCAGATATGGGGACTTGTGGAGAGGAGAGGGGACCAGAAGGGACACCAGTTACTTGATGCTCCCTCAAACATTTGTGGGTGCAGGGAGCTTGTCCATTTCCCCCCAAGGACCTGATTCTGGGAGGGAATGGGGAATGGGCCCGGTCTAGTGTGCAAGGCAGCCTGCTGTTCAGTTAGGTCATGGACAGCCTGGCTGTAGTGCCTGAAGAGCCCACAGTCCATTCCCTCCCCTTTCCCTTGGGGCAGCAGCCCAGGGGCTGGCTAGGGAGAAAGAGCAGGATCCCAGAGAAAGAGTGGACCCTTAGCACTAGGGTCGGGTTCCCCAGCAGGTGGAGGCTCTGTGCATACACCCTCTCCCCCAGCTCCCAACTCTGGGAAATTCCTCTCCTCGAATGGGGAGAGAAAGCCAAGACTTGGAAGGGACATGCACTGGCCCAACCCCACAGTGTCCTCAGGGACAGCCAGACCATTATCAGTCCTGTATCATTCTGTTTGCTGGGAACCAAAGGGTCCTGGGAGGGAGGGAGGGACAGGCCAGAGAGATAGAGGCCTCCTGCTGCTTGGCAACTGGCTCCTGGCTCAGGCCCGGCTGCCCTCACTCACCTGGGGTCAAGCTTTATCTGAGTCCTGTCTGGCTCCATTATCTCCTCTCCCGCTCCGGCTCGGTTCTCGGTTCTTGGCAGGCGCTGAAAGGCAAGGAAGGGCCGGCAGGTCGGGGCCCTGAGGTAGATGGCTCCCGGTCCCGCTGACGGCCGGCCTTTCCCAAAGGACAGGTAGGAAGAGTGGCTGGACCTTCCCTCTGGCTCTCTTCCTCCTCAGGCCTCTTTGCTCACAGTCTCTGTCTCAGAGTTCATCAGAGGAATTTGAAGTTTGATCCTCTCAGCTGGCTGAGTTCCCAGGTTCCTGACTCCTCCCTGTCCCCTAGGTGTGGTCTCTCCTGCCTCCTTCCCATAAACACCTTTAGCCATCCTTTGCCCCTGGCCCATTCCTGTCTTACACCCCCCATGTCCCCCAAAGAGCCTTCTTGGGTGGTGGTAGGGACAACGTTCTCATGCCCACTGGGCAACAACTCCTACTCCCCAAGAACCTGGCTGGACGCAGGCTCTGGGGCCCTGGGGGTGGGAGAATCAGGCTGAGGCCTTGACTGTGTTGGTTTTGGTGGCTTGGCATGCGGAAGGAAGGACTAGGTGGAAAAGCCAGACAAGGCCCCTGTGAGTTTCCCACGCCCAGCCTACCACATCTTGACGATGGGTTTGTCCAGTCAAATAGCAGCAGAAGATACAGCCAAGGGGAGAGGGAAGCTGTATTACCTGGTATTAAAGAGGCAGAATTGTGAGATTTGCAAGCATATGGACTGAATTTTTTAAAACTGTCAAATTGTTTATGAACTATTTTATTGATTGGTGGTTTTTCTTTTCTCTCCAAATAGATTTAAACCTATCTGAGGCCAAGCACAGCGCCCTGAGGTCCCTGGAACAGGGCCAGACACACACCAAGTGCTCCTTAGAAGTGGTGGCATGACTGATAATATCAAATCACTGCAACAGCAGCATCTGAGGTCCACTGAGCACTTCAGGTGCACCCAGTGCTGTAGGAAATGCAGTATGTTCCTTATCTCATGGAAGCCTTACAACCTCCCTCTGAAGGTAGGTGACAGCTTTATTTCCATTTTACAAATAAGGAAACTGAGGGTCAGAGGGCTGTGACACCAGGTTGAGTAGAAAGCCCTGGTGGAATGAAGGAAGGCAGAAAGGACCTGGCTGAGGGCTCTGTGGGGTTCAAGTGAAGACCTCTGATAGTACGAGAGGACCACGAGAGGGCAGGGGAGGCGCCCTGACCTGGGCCGGTGAATAGATACAATCTGAGGAAGCAGTTACTGATGTAGTCTCAGGACTCCCTACTCCTGTCTCAAACACCTCAAAATAGCTTCCTGTATTTTGTGTCAAGCAGAGTTCTCTCCCTCTTTTACTTTCCTCCTCAAATACTGTTCTCTGGCAGGACAATGTAGTGACTCAGGAATCTCAGGGCTCAATTCCCTCCTAAGGCGGAGGTGTGGGTACAACCGGAAGACTGGGGCATTGACCTCCAGAGGCTCAACTGCCCGGGCCCGCCCTGCCAAAGACCCTAGTTGACTCAGCTTCCTCAAACCATTTCCACAGGAACGCTCCCTGGGTCATTCACCCCTAGTTCAGTGAGAGGCCTTGAGCTTAATTGCACAAAGCCCTGAACTTTAGATTTCCCTAGACCAGATTGTTCTCCAAACTTCTTCAGGACAGAACTGGAGGTGGGGGTAGGAGAGGGGTGTTGAAGAGCTGGAGGGCATTGGGAAGGGAAGTAGGCTGAACTGACATTCAGTCTTCTAGAGCCTGGCAGCTGGGAGGTCCAGGGGAGGCTGGGTAATTCTCAGGATGGATGACAGGGAGGGAGGAATGGGAGGGTGTTGGTGAGAGGGAAGGCTTTAGCTCTGATGTGTTGCTTCTGCCCCACCCGAAGCCCCTAGGTGGCTATCTTCTATACAGTGTGATCCGTGCATTAGTCCAGGGCGATGCCCTGACTCAAGGCCAGTCCATCCATAGCTAAGGCGTGGCAAGAGAAGATGAGCTGAACCAGCCAGTCAGATTCTTCTCTTGCTAATTCTAGACTTTGGTCAAACACTAAACCCTTCCCCGCCCCCGCCCCCCACCCTCACCCCCCTCCCCACACACACATGCATACAGTCTGGCCATTCACAATACTGACCAGGCAAAGGGCCTGGGCTGAGGTGTATATGGGGTGAGTTTACTCTGCCTCCTCTTTCTGTGCAGGCAGTGTAAGAACACAGCCTGTGGTTAAGCACTGGGAGGTCTCAACATTGATTTTTAGAACCAAGAAAAACAAATCCTTTTTCTTTCTTTTCTTTTTCTTTTTGCTTAATTTTCCCCACAAAATTATATGGTCACATGATAGGACACCTTTTTTATCTCATGGCACACATAAACTAATTATAAATTTCTGCAGCACACCCAAAAATATATTTTTTTGGTGATCTGACAAAAATAGGTATAATTTTGATTCACTCACACTGGACAGCTATTGCTGTGTTGGCTGTTGTCATTTTTTTAATTTGACAATCTAAGGGAAAAAAGACCAGTGCTCCTGACTAGTTAGGTAGTGCATGTTTTAAAAATTCTTGCAGCACACTGGCTGAAAATCACTGATGTAATGTTGTTAGATTTTTGCCAAATGCCTTTTCTGCAAGAAAATTGTGTTGGCCCTGGCCGGTTTGGCTCAGTGATTAGAGTGAAGGGTCATGGGTTCAATTCCCAGTCAAGGCCATGTACCTTGGTTGCAGGTTTGATCCCTGGCCCTGGCAGCTCTTATAATATCAGTAGCACGTGAAGAACATTTGGAGCATGTTAATTATATCTATGTTTTGAACATCCTTCAGTGTTTGACAGTGCCATGTCATGGGTTATGAGGAGGGAGAGCAAGCCTTTGGTGTTACCTAACAGTCAAAAAGACACGCGGTCAATTTTATTCTTCTGAATTTCTGGCCCATATCAGGAAAAAAAAAGGCAACATCCAAAAGAGGTGTTGCTGTATAAGAATACAAGCACCTAAGGATGAGACATGGTGATAGTGTTGGCTGTATTGTCAATCAAACCAACATGGCACCGCAGAAGGTAACCTAACATCCAGCATCTTCTGTTTTCCTTTAGAAGTGAAGACTCTCCTATCAATCTAATTTTGCTTATCATTGTATATGTCATAAAATTTCCAAAAACAACAAAAAAGCATGTAAGTGAGTAGACCCCATTAACATTACTCATTTAGACTAGCTGAGACAATAACTCTCTACTATTGGGTGGAATAGGCAGAAAAGAAAATAATTACTTTTAGTGTTATTCAAAGATCACTTCCAAGCTAACAATTCTTTTCTGTTATACATATATCTTTAAAATTAATTTTAATATATTGTGATATGCAGGTATTTTTATTTATTTATTTTTATTTCAGAGAGGAAGGGAGGAGAGAGAGAGAGAGAAACATCAATGATGAGAGAGAATCATTGATAGGCTGCCTCCTGCATGCCCCCTACAGGGGATCAAGCTTATAACCCAGGCATGTGCCCTTGACCGCATCAAACCGGGGACCCTTCAGTCCACAGGCCGATGTGACAATATCTAAAATTTTAAACTTTAGTATTTGAAGTCATATAATCTTATTAAGTATACCATTTTTACTACATTTATTTTAACCTCTTAATTTGAATGCCATGAAGAAAAAATGTTTCATTCGAGGCCACAGACTTCCCATCCTAGAGCCATGGCCCAGTGTGTCTGTAACCTCTCAGAGAAAGCCCTGGCACAGGGCTCAGAGCCGCAGGTGGCCACATTTTGGCACTATGCCAAGGCTGAGCTGGTTTCTTCAGCCCCTGCTGAGATCCCTACAGATATTCAAAGTTTGAAAAAATAGTAGCACTCAAACTGGAAGCTTCAAACAGCTCCCAGTTAAGGAAGCTCTGCTGAATGGTTTGGAGGCCAGAGGTGCGGATGTGGTTTTTTGTTGGCAAGATCACGGGCCAGGGGGGAATCCTTAGCATAATGTTTGAAGACTAATCTTTAACATTTGTTTATTTTTGGTTTATTATTTGAATGTTCTTGAACCATGAGTGATCAGAATGACATTTTAATTTTTAAAAGATAAGTCAAAATCCATGTTTTTCTCTATCAAACACTGATTAGAAGGTCACAATTTCTCTTGATATTAGGTTGGATTGTCTTTTGTATAATAATGTTAGTAAAGCATTAAATGCATATCTTTGCTTAGCCTGAAAATGGGAAGCCTACATGTGAATAGACCAACCTGATACATATATTTATCAGAATAACATTTTAATTTGAAGGTTGGAAATTCTTTATTCCTAGGAGTCGGGGGAAAGTCCTTGAGAAAACTAAAATTTGCTACAGTGGGAGAAATAGTAATGCATGTACCAAAGTTAAATCATTCAGTAGTCAAAGAATAAAATTTGGATGGTTTCTCTTTGCTAAAATCAGAGAAAGGCTTTTTTTTTTTAAATTAAATCTTTATTGTTCAGATTATTACATTTGTTCCTCTTTTTTTTTCCCCCCATAACTCCCCTCCTCCCAGTTCCCGCCCCACCCTCCGCCCTCACTCCCCACCCACTGTCCTCATCCATAGGTGCACGATTTTTGTCCAGTCTCTTCCCGCATCTCCCACACCCCTTTCCCCCCCAGGAATAGTCAGTCCATTCCCTTTCTATGTCCCTGATTCTGTTATAATCAACAGTTCATTCTGTTCATCAGATTATTTATTCACTTGATTCTTAGATTCACTTGTTGATAGATGCATATTTGTTGTTCATAATTTGTATCTTTACCTTTTTCTTCTTCTTCCTCTTCTTAAAGGATACCTTTCAGCATTTCATATAATCCTGGTTTGGTGGTGATGAACTCCTTTAGCTTTTCCTTATCTGTGAAGCTCTTTACCTGACCTTCAATTCTGAATGATAGCTTTGCTGGATAAAGTAATCTTGGTTGTAGGTTCTTGGTATTCATCACTTTGAATATTTCTTGCCACTCCCTTCTGGCCTGCAAAGTTTCTGTTGAGAAATCAGCTGACAGTCGTATGGGTATTCCCTTGTAGGTAACTGAGTTTCTTTCTCTTGCTGCTTTTAAGATTCTCTCTTTATCTTTTGCTCTTGGCATTTTAATTATGATGTGTCTTGGTGCGGTCCTCTTTGGATTCCTTTTGTTTGGGGTTCTCCGCGCTTCTTGGACCTGTAAGTCCATTTCTTTCACCAGGTGGGGGAAGTTTTCTGTCATTATTTCTTCAAAAAGGTTTTCAATATCTTGCTCTCTCTCATCTTCTGGCACCCCTATAATTCTGATGTTGGTACGCTTGAAGCTGTCCCAGAGGCTCCTTACACTATCCTCGCATTTTTGGATTCTTTTTTCATTTTGCTTTTCCGGTTGGGTGTTTTTTGCTTCCTCGCATTTCAAATCATTGACTTGATTCTTGCGCTCCTCTGGTCTGCTGTTGGGAGTCTGTATAATATTCGTTATTTCAGTCCGTGTATGCTTAATTTCTAGTTGGTTCCCCAATATAAGATCGAGGGTCTCATTAGTTTTCTTGTAGATCTCATTAAGTTTATCGGTGGCTTCTAAACAGTTCTTGAGAGACCTTAAAAGTGTGGTTCTGAACTCTATATCTTCCATTGACAATTTTGTCCTGTTTCTTTGTCTCCGCATTTTGTTATGCTTCCTTGGTGCACCCCCTAGTGGTCTTTGTTCGCAGTCTTATAGTTAAATCTTGATTGTTGTAGCTAATTCCAGGGAGGGTTTGACCTCCAGGCCAAGTGGCTATGAGAATCAGCTATGTCAGCAGTGAGAGAACTTCTGTCCTCTAGGGAGGTGGTAATCTGGCCTTTGCCTGAGGCTATCCGGCAAATGCCTGTGTGCAGGGCTTGGGCGGGGCGGGTCGCACAGGATCAACAGGGTGGGCCGGAGAGAGCAGTTATGGCGGCTCTCAGTCCTGTCCCCAGGGGCTCTGCCTCTCTGAGTCCCAGCACCCACTGCAAAGCTCGGAGAGAAAGCTGCACTCGCTCTGACCGAAGCCAGACAGCCCCGCTTCTCCCGTTTGAGTCTGGGTCCCTAAAGACTCGCCTGTATCTGGAGCTCAGAGTCTGCGACTCCCTCCCGATTGAAAACACCAACCGCGCCCTCCGCCGCCAGCCCACTCCGCGCACTCCACACCTCAGAATTTGACTTCAGCACTGCGCCTCCTCTGAGTGTCCGTATGCGTTTCTCTTTCCTCCTAGTTGTAGGACTTCCACTCAGCCAGCGTTCCTGTGGTTCTGGGTGATGTCCCTTCCGTTTTTTGGTTTCACTTTTGAAGTAGTTGTTCAAAGCAGCAAACTCCGGCGTTAACCTATGCCGCCATCTTGGTTCTCTCTGAGAAAGACTTTTTGACTGCATCTATATCTATAAAAGTTGGGATATTTGGTAGCATTTTCTATGTGCATATCTTTGTAACATCTTTAATGCCAGGACAGTGAATGAGAGCCATGACCTAGATTTTAATCTATTTTTTATGTGTTGTTATTAATCTATCTGTTTTTTTTTGAGAACCTATCTTTGTAAAAATAAAATACCCTATGAGTTTTTAAATAGGGTTTTAACGTAGTATCATCTATGGGTATAAAAAGTATCTTATGTTCTGAATAAATAGAAGTGATTAGTTATCAGTAAAAAAGAAAAGAAAAAATATGCTTCTATAGACAAGAAAATATAAGTAATAAATGTGTATTGTTGAGGGATTCTTGCTCTTTGTTTTTAATCAAATGAATTCTCTCAAAATGTCCCAGTTCATTTAGTCCAATTCAAAACAGGAATCTTGGAATTATAAATTTTATTCATGTTTAAGAATAATATAATCTCTGCTGAGTGACATTAAAGTAACATTCAAAATGGCCATTGCCCATCAGCACGCGGCAGCTCTGACATGTGCAGCTGCTGCGTCTCAGCAGACTCTGTGGTAGCCGTTCTGAGGCTACTGGTGGTGCCTGGGTCACAGGCCTGAGTGCTGGCTGCAAGAGGCTTTGAATGTGTGTCTGGCATTTTCAGCTCCAACTGGGACAAGGAAACGGTCTTTGCCCTTCACCAAGGCTCGCAGGGCAGGGAATCCTGCAAACACACAGGAATTCAGATGCTCAGTGGCTAAAAGAAATGACCAATGTCAGCCGCAGGTAACAGAAAACCCAGTTACTTTCCTCACATAACAAGCAGCTCAGATGTAGGCAGTTCAAGGCTGGGGAAGCGATTCAACAATGTCGTCGCTGGCTTTCTGTCTGGGTCGCGTGTTGGCTTATTGCCTAACGCAGTAGTCGGCCAACTCATCAGTCAACAGAGCCAAATATCAACAGTACAACGACTGAAATTTCTTTTGGGAGCCAAATTTTTTAAACTTAAACTATATAGGTAGGTACATTCAACTTTAAATGCACGGTTTTCGTCTTCCGTTTTTCTTTGCTTCTTCTTTGAAGCCATCTCAAACAGGGCACCTAACAAATGTTTCATTTTATAATAATAAAGCCACCAACACAAAAGAATTACAATTCTTAAATTGATGACAAAAATACCTGTAGGATTTGCAGCTGGTTGGAAAAATACAGGTAACTTTATGCTTCGAGTAGGTACTTTTGTCACCTGCGCGCGATTTGCGGACGCGACTAGCACTAACCACTGCACCATGAGACTGCTGACTGACTGGCTCACTCAGCTCCTGCATGAATCACAAGCGCCTCCCCGGTGCTGCATATCCCTAGGCCCGCCTGCACCGCGTCTCCCCACCCACCGACAGCTCCCACTTCTTCTAACGCCACTTCTTTAAAATAGACTCGCCCAGGCAGAAAACCGACTTCTGCGCATGGGCCACGAAGTTTCAATCGCACTGTACGCGCGCCCCCGCACGTGGTATTTTGTGGAAGAGCCACGTTCAAGGGGCCAAAGAGCCGCATGTGGCTCGCGAGCCGCGGTTTGCCGACCACTGGCCTAACGGGTCCAAGGTGGCACCCTCAGGTGCCAGCCAGCAGGTCTAGGTTCAAGACGGGAAGAGAGGGACAGTTGTGCCAACCGTGCCCTTTGCCCCGTTTATCAGGAAGGCAAAAGCTCTTCTAGAAACTCTCAGCCCACACCCACCTAGGCCCCACTGACCAGAATTGTGTCCTGAAGCCAACCATGGAAATGAGGGAAGCTGCAAAATTGTTTAGCTGCCCCGCCCCCCAGAGTGGAATTTTATAATAAACGAAAAGGGGAAAAGGCAATCGAGTGAGCACAGAGCACTGCTTCAATTAGCGCCAAAGCTAAAAGGATGGTGAGAACCGCCCACCTTCGCCCCAAGTGTGTCTCTACTCTCATGCTGTCTCGGAGCCAGCCTCCTTGCAGGGCAGGGCCTCTCGGTCCCCAGCACAAGCGGGAGTGGGGTGGGCTTGCTGGAGGCAGTGACAGTCACAGGCTGGGGGCAGTTCTGCTACAGAACCCTGGCCCCATCCTCCTCAGCCTCTGTGATGTCACACTGGGACTTTTCTCCTTCCACGCTGAGCTGCGGCTTCCGAGGCCGCTGTGGCCATGGGGCGCCTGGAGCCAGCAGGGGAGAGGGAGCCTGGTGGCTCTGATCTCCCCTGGGGGCGCGGGAGGCCCAGCCATGCCCCTCAGGAACGATGCCATTCTCCTCGTGAAGGAGCCCCATCCCCCTCCGCAGGCCCCGCTTCCCTGGATCCTCCCGAGCCTGTTTGCGGCCTTCAATGTGGTGCTGCTGCTGGTTTTCAGTGGCCTCTTCTTTGCATTCCCGTGAGTCTACCGCACCGGCTGGCAGGAGAGAAAGGAAATGACGGCGCAGAGGCAGGGGAAGTGCAGCAGAGGGGCCAGGGGAGGGAGGATATTCTAGGCAGGGGGACTCCAATGTGCAAAGGCACAGAGTATTTGGTGTGTGGGGGCTGCAGGTGGCTGGCAACCCTGGGGGCGTTGGTGGAGCCTCTATGGATCTGTCGGAAGCCGTATGTTTGGAGCTGAAAGGCCTGTGGGCCCTGAGCGGTGAGCCGGTCCTGGCAGGGGCTTTGGAGCAGGGCTGAGTCCTGCTCTCGTCTCAGTTGCAGGTGGCTGGCCCAGAACGGGGAGTGGGCCTTTCCCATCATCACGGGGCCCCTCTTTGTCCTCACCTTCTTCAGTCTCCTTTCACTCAACTTCTCAGACCCTGGCATCTTACATCAAGGTGAGACCTTCTCCTGGGTCCCCTGGAGAAGGAGGTAGCCCCCCCAAGATTCCTAGTGTCCTCAGGACCCCTTCACCCTAAGTCCTCATCTGCTTGGGCCCTGCTTCTGGCACTTCGTTTCCCAAGGTGTGGAAAGACAGAATTCTGGGGGTTTTCCAGTTGCCTTTGGCGGGGGGGGGGGGGGGACCGGGAGAGGGGGGCTGGGCCAGGCTGGGCAGAGAAGCCAGCTCTTCCCACTCTCTCCGCCTTCTTCCCACTGAACAAAAGCCTTAAAGCATCAGTCACGATTCCCAAGGCCCGAGTTCTCGCAGAATTCCTCAGGCGAAAACCATCTTTCCCTTTGGCTGCCAGCCTCTTCAAGTTTGCTCAGCTCGCTCCGCGGGGACTAGGGTTTCCCCTGCCCACCTCCCCCGCACCATTCCCGGAGCCCAGGGAGACAGTGGAACCCCCCACCGGCAGCCGACTGATGGAGGAGCCTCCTGGCGCTGCCCAGTCCTCTCCCCATGCCAGGATCCAACGAACAGGGTCCCCGGGCAGTGCATGTGATCTGGGTGAACCACCAGGCCTTCCGCCTGCAGTGGTGCCGGCAGTGCTGCTTCCACCGCCCACCCCGGACCTACCACTGCCGCTTGTGCAACATCTGCGTGGAGGTGAGTGCCCCTCTCGCCTGCCCACCTGCCAGCCCCCTGCCCCCATCCAGCACTGGTGTGGACCAGGAGGCTCACTCATAAAGGGCCAGTGCCAGCTATGAAACAACTTCCGGGACTGCTAAAGGCCGAGGGTGGCAGTGACTCCCAGCCACCCTTGGTCACTCATGCAGTCCCCGCCCCTGTGCCTGTGCCTGCACAGGTGCTGACATACACAGGGCCACCCACATCTAGGCTGGCCTGTCAGGCTGGGAGAAGGAAGGGTAGCCCTGTTCTACTCCCCCCAACCCCCCACCCCCGCCCCCCGCCCCCTGCTCCTGCCCTGGGCTTGCTGACAGTAGATACCCAAGGCCCTCAGACTCACACTGGCTCAAACCCCGAGCTGAGTGCTTGTCTTTCTCACTTGCACAGCCCACAGAGGTTTTCAGATGTGCTGTCCTCTGTGGTCCTTCCAACCCTAGGAGGGGGGGCTGGGCCAGGCTCTCATCCCCCTCCCGTGGGTGAGAAAACAGATGCCCTGAGATGCACTGTGTCCTGCCTGAAGTTGCCAGCATGTGTCCCACCAAAGACCAGGCAGGCTTGGCTTCTCAAGGCCTCCTGCCAGGCCACGTGGTGAGCCACAGCCCCAATAGCGCCCGCACCCCGGAAATGCCAGCGCTAAGGGCTTTGTGGCTCACTTGGGAGCAGGGAGAAGGCAGAGCGTGGGGCCAAGGGCAAGTGGCTTCGGGAGGGACGGGAAGGCTTCAGGTTTAGGGTCAACGGAGACTGGGCCAGAGATCGGGACCTAGAGGCCTGCCCCTCCCCCCTCTCGCCCAGGATTTTGACCATCACTGCAAGTGGGTCAATAACTGCATCGGTCACCGCAACTTCCGCTGCTTTATGCTGCTCGTGGTGTCCCTGTGCCTCTACTCGGGCGCCGTGCTGGCCACCTGCCTGATCTTCTTGCTGCGTCTGACCCAAGAGACCCCTTACATAGACAAGGTCACCGCGTATCCGCCTGACTGCTGTGCCCGAGTAGGGCGCTAGGGGGCGCTGTGGCAGCCGAAGGGGGTCCTGGGGGCGGAGCAATGATGGGGGCGGGGGTTAGAGAGAGAAGCTGCTGGGGAAGACCAATCTGGGACTAGGTGAGGTGGGTGGGCCAGGGAGACGGGCGGGGCTGGGAGGAACGGCAAAGAGGTAAGAATCCTGCAGGGTCACGGATGCGGGGTTTGGACAGGTTTACGCGGCTGGAGCGCAGGGAGCGGGTGGACAGGGTGGTTGTGGGCCGGACGAGGCGGGGTGAGGGGCAGGGCCTGGGAGGCCGGTCCCGCAGCTCTGCTCCTTAGCTGTGTGCAGCATCGTGGTGGCTGTACCCGCCGCCTGCTTCCTGGTGCCGCTCTGCCTGCTGCTGCTGGTCCAGGCCCTGTCGGTGAGCGCGGCCGAGCGCTCCTGCGAGGGCAAGGTATGCGGGGCCCAGCGGGGCGCCGCTCTATGGGCCGCGGGGTGGTCACCTGGCCTCTCGGGCACCTCCGCCCTTTCTTGCTCCACCGCCCTGGTCACTGATGGCCTGACTTCGCTCGAAGATGCCTCGTTAGCCCTTACAGACCCAGCCTGAGCTCAAATCTCACCCCGGCGGTCCCTCTCCCTCCTGCGTGCACAGGGCCTACTGTGTGCTGGGCCGCGTGTGCACTATTTTGGGCGGGAGGCGCACAGGTGAGTAAGGCTATGTCTTGCGCTTGTGTTGAAATCAGAATAACACCTGCCAGACACCGGTGAACACTCTGAGGGGCCTGTCCTACAACCTGTAGCGCAGACTCAGAGGGAACTGACAGCTCAGTGCAGGGTAGGAGGCGCCGCTTAGTGGTTTTGATGGGCAGAGGACGGGGGAGACTGGTGAGGGGCCAGCTAGCAAAAAGGCAGGGGAGCCTGACGGTGGCCGGAATGAGGATAGGATGGTGAAAAAATTGTCTTTTATTTTATTATGTTTTTATTGATTTCAGAGAGAGAAAGGAGAGGGAGAGAGAAACATCAATGATGAGAGAGAATCATGGATGGGCTGCCTCCTGCAGGCCAACCCCAGCATGTGCCCTGACCCCGAATTGAACCCCAACCTCCTCGTTTATAGATCCACGCTCAACTACTGGGCCACAACCGCCAGGCAAGAAATAGCCAATTGGAGCAGGAGAGGGCATAGAAGTCAAGTGGACTGCTTGAGGTTCGCCAGATTTAAACGGCTCAGAACCTCGGGTGGAGAATTTGGTCTTGGTGCAGTGGACTCCCGGGAGCCATGATAGGATTCTTTTTTTAAACATACAAACACCTACAGCCCTGTAACCAACCCCCATAACCAAGATTTAGAACATTTTTATCACCGCCCCCCCGCCCCCCCCGCAAAAAATAAAATTCCCTCATGGCCTTTTTCTCTCTACCAACCTGGCAACCTGATCTGTTTTCTTTTCTTTTTTATTTTTTGAGATTCATATTTTATTTACAAGCAAATGAAGACTGTTCCCTGTAAACTCTAATTTGGGATGAGAAGAGCAACATAGAAAAGTAGTTGCTGGCTCCATAGTGATGTGTGAAAGGAATCTATTTCTTTAAACAATGATTTTGTTAATAAAAATGGGGGGGGGGAGCCTCATGATTTCTTCATGTTGCATATGTGAAAGAATCCAAAAGAAAAACGTCATTTTCATTCAGTGAGAGCCCCTGCTCCCCAAGAGCAATATCCTCAGAGCAAAAGAGTTAATACTCATCAGGGGTGTCTGCTCGAGGAACGGAGAGACCTCGATCTTTAAGAGCCTGGACCTTCAGCTTCTCGTTTTCCAGCTTGGTCTGCTGTTCTACCCTTTGTTCGTCTAGAATTTCTTCAATAGATGCTGCAAGGGTGTGTCACTCTCCTTTTCCAAGTCTATTTCTCCTAGTAGGACCACATTTTCTCCTCTGACCACAAAAATCCCCCGAGGAATATCACCGTATTTTTTGCCCACGTGAATACGCTCCACAGTCTGATGTAGCACTAAATTAGTGTCGATGTCCTCGATGAGGCTGGCGGTTCCGGGCATATAGTTCATGTTGAGCTGAGATAAGGCTGCAATGTAAAGCGGCGAAGGGCTAGCGCGTCCAACACCTCCTTCCTCCTACCGTGGTCGCCTCGTGGGACTGGGACGGGGACCCAGATGGGAACCCGCACTTCTGCCCCGGCTTTCAGCCGCCCTGTTTTCTATCCTTATAGTTTTTCCTTTTCCAGAGTCTCATATAAATGGAAACAAAGCCTTTTGAGCCTGGCTTTTTTCACTTAGCATAATGCATTTGAGAGTCGTCTATGTTGTTACCCATCTCAGTAGTTTTCCTCTTGTTGTTGCTGCGTATTATTCCATCAGATGGATGTGCCACAGCTTGTTTATCCATTCCCCACTGCCAATTGCCCTCCAAATGGCTGTTGCATTCTGCATTCCCAAAGCAGTGCATGAGAATCTCAGTCGTTCTGCATCCTCACTAACATTTGGCATTGACGGATTTGTTTGTGTGGTTTTTTTTCTTTTCTTGATTTTAGCTAGTCTAATAAATGTGTAGAAGTATCTCATTGTAGTTTTAATGTGTATTTTTATAATGCCTAATGATGTCGGGCATCTCATGTTCTTATTTGCCATATGAATGTGTTTGATTAAAAGTCTGTTACAATCTTTTGTCCATTAAAATATTAGATTGTTTTCAAACTATGGAGTTTTAAGAGTTCTTTATGTAGTCTGGATTTAGATATTTTCTCCCAGTCTGTGGCTTGTCATCTTGTTTTCTTTTTATTTTCTTAATAGTATTTTGAATTTTTTTAAAATATTTTATTGATTTTTTACAGAGAGGAAGGGAGAGGGATAGAGAGTTAGAAACACCGATGAGAAAGAAACACCGATCAGCCGCCCCCTGCACATCCCCCACCGGGAATGTGCCCGCAACCAAGGCACAGGCCCCTGACCGGAATCGAACCTGGGCCGACGCTCCATCCACTGAGCCAAACCAGCCAGGGCAGTATTTTGAATTTTGATGAAGTACATGATCCGTTGTTTTTTATGGATTGTGCTTTTTGATGTTATAATTAGGAAATATTTGCTTGACCCCAAATCACAAAGTTTTTAAAAATATGTTTTCTTTTAGACGTTTTATAGTTTTAGAATTTATAATTAGGCCTACAATTCATTTTGGGTTAACTTCCGTATGTGATACAAGGTATGGGTCAAGATTTATTTTTTTGCATATGGGTTTTTCCAGCACCATTTGTTGAAAAGACTATCTTGCTTCCATTGAGTTGCTTTTGCACCTTTGTCAAAATTCAGCTGGCATGTAGGTGTGGGTGTATTTGAGGATCTCTATTCTTTCGCCAATATCATACTATTTTGACTAGTAGCTTTATATTAAGTTCTGGAATCACACATTGTGAGTTCTTCAACTTTGTTCTTTTTCAAAGTTCTTTTGGCTATTGGTTCCTTTGATTTTCCACATAATTCTTATTTTTATTTTTTTTATTGATTTCAGAGAGTTTTTTAAATATGTATTTTTTTTTTTATTGATTTCAGAGAGGAAGGGGGAGAGAGAAAGAGATAGAAACATCAATGATGAGAGAGAATCACTGATTGGCTGCCTCCTGCATGCCCCCACTGGGGATCTAGCCATGACCCGCAAGCTGGCATGTGCCGTGACTGGGAATCTAACCATGACCTCCTGGTTCATAGGTTGATGTTCAACCACTGAGCCACACCAGCTGGGCATCCACATAATTTTTAGAATCTGTTTGTCAATTTCTACAAAAATGTTTGCTGAGATTTTCATTTGGATTGTGTTGAACCTATAGGTCAGTTTGGAAAATTGATATTGAGTTTTTGAATTCATGAACATGGTGTACCTCCCCACTTATTAACGCCTTCTTCTACTTCTTTCGTTAGTGTTTTGCAGTTTTCCATACATTGATCTTACATATACTGTGCTAGATTTTTTCTGTTTCCTTTTTTTGTGCTTTTATAACTTTTTTTTTACTGTAAAATAAGTATATAGTTCCAAGAAATTAAAGATTGAATCAAGGTGGCATTCTAGAACTCAAAATACCACAGTTTAGCAGCTGATTTCCTGGTGAAAGTCTACAATCATTACTGTGGATGTTTTCATTGCAATTCCATCAGGTTAGTTACATCTTTACTCTGTTGATATTCCTATTCAAGTTTATGCTATTTTCTGTATTTACTTGTGTTCTTCAATATCTTTCAATAATTTTATACATAACAGCCTTGCATATCTTTTGTTAAATATTTTTCTAGCTACTTTATAATGCTTTTTACACAGTTTTACTTTCTATTAGCTAGATGCAATTGTTAATCTTAAATGAGATTAAATTTTTACTTTTGCATCTAACAACCTTACAGAATTTTCTTTTTCCCTTTTTAAATTAAATTTATTGGGTGACATTGGTTACTATCATATAGGTTTCAGGTGTGGGTTTCCATGTTACAAGATCTGTGTATTGTACTGTGTGCCCGCCACCCAAAGTCAAATATCCCATCATCATATATTAAGACCCCTTTCACCTCCCACCCCTTTCTCTCTGGCAATCACCACACTGCTGTTTATGTTCATGAGTTTCAGTTTTATATTCCATATATGAGTGAAATCATATGGTTCTTAGCTTTTTCTGATTGACTTATTTCACATAGTATAATATTCTCAAAGTCCATCCATGTTGTTGTAAGTATTTCATCCTTATGGCTGAGTAGTATTCCACTGTGTATATGTACCACATCTTCTTTATCCAGTCCTCTATCATAGGACACTGGTTGTTTCCATGTCTTGGCCACCATGAATAATGCTGCAATGAACATAGGGGTGCATATATATTTGCAAACACATGTTTTCTAGTTTTTTGGGTATATACTCAGGAGAGGGATTGCTGGGTCGAATGATAGCTCTATTCTTAATTTTTTGAAGAATCACCAGACTGCTTTCCATAGTGGTTGTACCAGTCTACATTCCCACCAGCAGTGAATGAGGGCTCCTTTTTCTCCACAACGTCTCCAATACTTGTTATGGCTTGTCTTGTTGATAACGGCCACTCCAAAACAGGTGTGAGGTGGTAGCTCATTGTAGTTTTGATTTGCATTCCTTAATTGCAAGTAAGGTTGGCATCTTTTCATATATCTATTGGCTGCTCGTATGTCTTCTTGGGAGAGGTGTATTTTCAGGGCTTCTGCCCACTTTTTGATGGGGTTGTTTGGTGTTGAGTTTAATGGGTTCTTTATATATTTTAGAAATTAAACCTTTGTCAGAGCTACTGTTTGCAGATATCATCTCCCATCTGGTTGGCTGCCTTTTTGTTTTGTCCTCAGTTTCTTTTGCTGTGCAGAAGGTATTTAGTTTGATATAGTCCCATTCATTTATTTTTGCCTTTACTTCCCTTGCCTTTGGGGTCAAGCTCATAAA